AATTCAATTCTTGCTTTTTCTGATCAATTAAAAAGCAATAAGCCTGTTTTTAGAAGAAAAAATTTCTAAAAAAATTGACGATTTTTCTAAGCCTATAGCCTTACTTTTTGATCAAAAATCGACCCTTACAAAAAGTCTTTATTCTTCCAAAAAACAACCTTTTTTCTCGAAACTAAATTCAATTCTTGCTTTTTTCTGATCAATTAAAAACCAATAAGCTTGTTTTTAGAAGAAAAAAATTTCTAAAAAATTGACGATTTTTCTAAGCCTATAGCCTTACTTTTTGATCAAAAATCGACCCTACAAAAAGTCTTTATTTCTTCCAAAAAAACACTTTTTTTTCTCGAAACTAAATTCAATTCTTGCTTTTTCTGATCAATTAAAAACCAATAAGCTTGTTTTTAGAAGAAAAAAATTTCTAAAAAAATTGACGATTTTTCTAAGCCTATAGCCTACTTTTTGAACAAAAATCGACCCTTACAAAAAGTCTTTATTTCTTCCAAAAAACAACCTTTTTTCTCGAAACTAAATTCAATTCTTGCTTTTTCTGATCAATTAAAAAGCAATAAGCCTGTTTTTAGAAGAAAAAATTTTCGAAAAAAAATTGACGATTTTTCTTAGCCTCAGCCTTACTTTGTGATCAAAAATCGACCCTTACAAAAAGTCTTTATTTCTTCCAAAAAACAACCTTTTTTCTCGAAACTAAATTCAATTCTTGCTTTTTCTGATCAATTAAAAACCAATAAGCTTGTTTTTAGAAGAAAAAAATTTCTAAAAAAATTGACGATTTTTCTAAGCCTATAGCCTTACTTTTTGATCAAAAATCGACCCTTACAAAAAGTCTTTATTTCTTCCAAAAAACAACTTTTTTCTCGAAACTAAATTCAATTCTTGCTTTTTCTGATCAATTAAAAACCAATAAGCTTGTTTTTAGAAGAAAAAAATTTCTAAAAAAATTGACGATTTTTCTAAGCCTATAGCCTTACTTTTTGATCAAAAATCGACCCTTACAAAAAGTCTTTATTTCTTCCAAAAAACAACCTTTTTTCTCGAAACTAAATTCAATTCTTGCTTTTTCTGATCAATTAAAAAGCAATAAGCCTGTTTTTAGAAGAAAAAATTTTCGAAAAAAATTGACGATTTTTCTTAGCCTCTAGCCTTACTTTGTGATCAAAAATCGACCCTTACAAAAAGTCTTTATTTCTTCCAAAAAACAACCTTTTTTCTCGAAACTAAATTCAATTCTTGCTTTTTCTGATCAATTAAAAAGCAATAAGCCTGTTTTAAGAAGAAAAAAATTTCGAAAAAAATTGACAATTTTTCTAAGCTTATAGCCTTACTTTTTGATCAAAAATCGACCCCTCTAAAATGTCGTTTTTTCTTCCAAAAAACAACTTTTTTCTCGAAACTAAATTCAATTCTTGCTTTTTCTGATCAATTAAAAACCAATAAGCTTGTTTTTAGAAGAAAAAAATTTCTAAAAAAATTGACAATTCTTATAAACCTATAGCCTTACTTTTTGATCAAAAATCGACCCCTACAAAAAGTCTCTATTTCTGCCAAAAAACAAATTTTTTCTTGGAACTAAATTCAATTCTTGCTTTTTCTGATCAATTAAATAGCAATAAGCCTGTTTTTAGAAGAAAAAATTCTCGAAAAAACTTGACGATTTTTCTAAGCCTATAGCCTTACTTTTTGATCAAAAATCGACCCCTACAAAAAGTCTCTATTTCTGCCAAAAAACAACTTTTTTCTCGAAACTAAATTCAATTCTTGCTTTTTCTGATCAATTAGAAAGCAATAAGCCTGTTTTTAGAAGAAAAAAATTTCGAAAAAAATTGAAAATTTTTCTAAGCCTATAGCCTTACTTTTTGATCAAAAATCGACCCCTACAAAAAGTCTCTATTTCTGCCAAAAAACAACTTTTTTCTCGAAACTAAATTCAATTCTTGCTTTTTCTGATCAATTAAAAAGCAATAAGCCTGTTTTTAGAAGAAAAAATTTTCGAAAAAAATTGACGATTTTTCTAAGCCTATAGCCTTACTTTTTGATCAAAAATCGACCCTTACAAAAAGTCTCTGTTTCTGCCAAAGAACAACTTTTTTCTCGAAACTAAATTCAATTCTTGCTTTTTCTGATCAATTAAAAACCAATAAGCCTGTTTTTAGAAGATAAAATTTTCGAAAATAAATCGACCATTTTTCTAAGCCTATAGCCTTACTTTTTGATCAAAAATCGACCCTTACAAAAAGTCTTTATTTCTTCCAAAAAACAACTTCATTCTAAAAACTAAATTCAATTCTTGCTTTTTCTGATCATACCAAGGGCAATAAATCTCTTTTAAGAAAAAAAAATTTTCGAAAAAAATCGACGATTTTTCTAAGCCTATAGCCTTACTTTTTGATCAAAAATCGACCCCTACAAAAAGTCTTTATTTCTTCCAAAAAACAATTTTTTTCTCGAAACTAAATTCAATTCTTGCTTTTTCTGATCAATTAAAAACGAATAAGCCTGTTTTTAGAAGAAAAAATTTTCGAAAAAAATTGACGAGTCTTCTAAGCCTATAGCCTTACTTTTTGATCAAAAATCGTCCTCTGCAAAACGTCCTTATTTCTTCCAAAAAACATGCTGCCAAAGGTGATTATATTTTGCAGGTGATTGAGTCATATCTAGATGTTGCATATTCTTTCATTTCGATATCATCTTTCTCATTTCTGTATCTTCTGTTCTGATTTCTGTATCTTATGCTCAATGTCCGGCCCTTACAAGAGAAAGAGTGTATTAAAATTATTGAAAATTTTTGACGAAGAATAGATCATTCATAATCTCTGAATCCAAGCTTTTCTTTCTCAACCTAATGGTTATCACCCTTCTGTCATAAACATCCTTAGCTTTTGTTCCCCCTTCCTTGAAAAGCTCCTTCTTTTATAAAAACCCCCAACCCTCTCATTCATAAAACCCCTCGCAATCCTATTAATACCCGGTTTCTCTAATATTTCACTTCTTCTTAAAAGCCCACACCTCTGATAACCACTAAGAGAAATCAGACTTATTAATTTGTTTGAAAGATCACCTGTGATTGGTAAAACAGGGTTAACAACACTTTGCTCTACACCGTCATGTTTACTTTAAGAACCCCCCACCCCCAACCCACTTGTAAATACCAGTTGTAAAACATTTATTAAAACTTTAAAGTTCCAGTCAATTTCCCAGCACTTATCAGGGTACTTTATCGCCTTCGCTAATTAATCGAATAAACAAACTTGTGGTTCTGTTGATGTTAGAAGAAAAATAACAAAAAACTGTCAAACTTTTTAGGAAGCTTGGGACTGCAAAATAATCAAAGACGCGAAAAGGCTCATTTCTTTCTTCGTCCCTGACATTCGAAGGGGCGAAAAAGGGGTTTTTTGCTTAAAGGGGATAAGGGGACTAGACATTCGTCACAAAATTTTCCTCTTCTCTCCCCCCTGAAGAAAACAAATTTGAAAAACAGTTGGCATTTTAACAATTGAAGCGCCTGTTGGGATTCTGTAGCATCATAAAAACAAGTTGCTGCAACCAATGGGCCGAACTTAAATATCAAAGGGACCACACACTTTCTTTTTAACTAAATCGCTTCGTTTTGAAGCAAAAGTTTCTTTGAAATGACTCAATGTCGGTAATGTCCTTGGGGGTTAAGTTCCTTCAGAATGTTCTCGCTTGAAGTTTCTTAACACTGTAAGGTCTCTAGTGGTGTCAAAATGCACCCTGTTATCCCAAGCGCAATCGTTGCAGAGATCATTGCCTTTTTTGGTCAAAGCTGAGCTCAGTTGATGAGCAGGGGTGTGAAAAGCGTGCAATAAGGAGTATCCCAGAATGCACTGGCAACGTGTCAAGCCAACGTGCTTTTCGATTTTCCCCTCATTCACGAAGACCCGATGTCGCGGACGGTCAGAGTCAAGGAAGTCATCTATGTTCAAGCGTAAGTAGCTTCCTTTCCGTTGTAGTTTAAGACATTTTCGTTTTCATTTTACTAGATTTGAACTTTAAAGTAGTTTTAATGTCAAAATCAGTACTAAGATTAAAGTAACAGGCAATTCTTAACCTGGAGATGTATTTTAAATTACGTATGAAGATTGTTAACTTCATTTGCTTCCATTCGACAGATCCAGAAAGCCACCATTCCAGGCAAGGACGATAAGTTTGGATCTAAAAAAGGTAATATTTCACTATCTTTATTTATGCCAACCTTTCTTCATAACCTATTCGAGCTTTCTCTGTGCCTATTCCCTTCCTTGCTATTTTTGCCTGCCATAAACGTTAAACCAGCGTTGCTACTAAACACGTTTTTCTGATTCTAGAGAACAGAATTCTTGGCATCGTCACAAATTTGTCCCGCAAAACATGGTTTACGAAAGGCTAGAGATAAATTGAAATGGTGAGTTATGACTTCAAGAATATATTTGCTTTACCGTTTTTACATATTGATTCTCTTCCTTGGAAGAGATTTTGACATATTTGAAGTCTTATAAACTCGTGAAGTCTGCTGGTGAAATTTTAACGTTGGCTGAACTTTGCTTAGGAGGGATCCTGACACTCCATTCAAAATCTCCGAAGTTTGATTTAGAAACACAGAATTATGATTAGAAACTAAAGCGCAGGGTGTAAAAAAATTAGAAATACTTTCTATCCAGTTTATCGAGGTATTTCCTTGCAAAGTTATCGAGTTTTTCGATTTTTTTCAAATAGTTCAGTTTAAGTTTCTTTAGAACGTAGCCCCTTTAGTGAAATATTCTGAAATTGGGACATTTTCTTTCCCGTTTATCGAGGTGTTTCCTTTTCAAAATTATCGAGTTTTTCGACCTTTTTTCAAACAGTCCATTTTAAGTTTCTTTAGAACGTAGCCCCTTTGGTGAAATATTCTGAAATTGGAACATTTTCTTTCCCGTTTATCGAGGTGTTTCCTTTTCAAAATTAACGAGTTTTTCGATTTTTCTCTCTCGAATATTTCATTTTAAATTTTCTTAGAACGTAGCCCCTTTGATGAAATACTCTGAAATTGGAACATTTTCTTTCCCGTTTATCGAGGTGTTTCCTTTTCAAAATTAACGAGTTTTTCGATTTTTCTCTCTCGAATATTTTATTTGAAATTTTCTTAGAACGTAGCCCCTTTGGTAAAATACTCTGAAATTGGAACATTTTCTTTCCCGTTAATCGAGGTGTTTCCTTTTCAAAATTATTGAGTTTTTCGATTTTTCTCTCTCGAATATTTCATTTTAAATTTTCTTAGAACGTAGCCCCTTTGATGAAATACTCTGAAATTGGAACATTTTCTTTCCCGTTAATCGAGGTGTTTCCTTTTCAAAATTATCGAGTTTTTCGATTTTTCTCTCTCGAATATTTCATTTTAAATTTTCTTAGAACGTAGCCCCTTTGATGAAATACTCTGAAATTGGAACATTTTCTTTCCCGTTAATGATTGTGTTCCCTTTTCAAGAATTATCGGAGTTTTTCGATTTTCTCTCGTCGATATATTTTTATTGAAATTTTCTTAAGACGTACCCCTTTGATGCAAACCTTCTGAAAGTTGGAACTTTTCCTTTCCGTTAATTCGAGGTGTTTTCCTTTTCAAATTATCTTCGATGGTTTTTTCGATTTTTCTCTCTCAATTATTCATTTTAAAATTTTCTTTCTTAGAACGTAGCCCTTATTGATGAAATGACTCTGAATATTGGAACATTTTCTTTCCCGTTAATCGAGGTGTTTCTTTTCAAGCAATATCGGTTTTTCAATTTTTCTCTCTCGAAATATTTTAGTTTGAAATTTTTCTTAGAACGTGCCCTTGATTGAAATTACTCTGAAATTGGGAACATTTTCTTTCCCGTAATCGAGGTGTTTCCTTTTCAAAATTATTGAGTTTTCGATTTTCTCTCTCGAATATTTCATTTTTAAATTTCTAGAACGTAGCCCCTTTGATGAAGATACTCTGAACTTGAACATTTTGCTTTCCCGTTAATCGGGGGTTGTTTTCCCTTTTCAAAATGATTGAGTTTTTCGATTTTTCTCTCTCATTAATTTCATTTTAAATTTTTTAGACACGTAGCCCCTTTGATGAAATATTCGTGAAATTGGGAAGCATTTTCTTTCCCGTTTATCGAGGTGTTTCCTTTTCAGAATTATTGAGTTTTTCGATATGTTATCTGCTCGCATATTTCATTTTAAGTTTTTCTTTAGAACGTAGCCCCTTTGATGAACTAATTCTGAAATTGGAAATTTTCTTTCGCCCGTTAATTTCGGGTTGTTTCCTTTTCAAAATTAATCGAGTTTTTCGATTTTTCTCTCTCTCGAATATTCATTTTAAATTTCTTAGAACGTAGCCCCTTTGATGAATGACTCTGAAATTGGAACATTTTCTTTCCCGTGTTATTCGAGGTGTTTCCTTTTCAAAATTACGAGTTTTTCGATTTTCTCTCTCGATATTTTTATTTGAAATTTGCTTTTTAGATACGTTAGCCCGTTTGATATTGTTAAATATGGTTCTGATAATTTTGTGGAACAGTTCTTGTTCTCCGTTAAGTCGAGTGTGTTGTCCTTTCAATATTATCGTAGTTTTTCTGAGGTTGTTCTCTTCCGTCGATATTTTTCATTTTTTAGAATTTTATTAGAACGTAGCCCCTTTGGTAAAATACTCTGAAATTGGAACATTTTCTTTCCCGTTAATCGGAGGTGTTTCCTTTTGCAAAATTATTCGGAGTTTTTTCGATTTTTCTCTCTCGAATTATTTTATTGAATAATTTTCTTTAGAACGGTAGCCCCCTTTGTGAATACTGCTGAAATTGGAAACATTTTCTTTTCCGTTAATCGAGGTTGTTTCCTTTCAAAATTTAATTGGAGTTTTTCGATTTTTTCTCTCTTCGAATATTTCATTTAAATTTTCTTAGAAAGTAGCCCCTTTGTAAATACTGCTGAAATTGGAGACATCTTCGTTTCCCCGTTAATCGTGGGAGGTGTTTCCTTTTTCAAAATTTATCGAGTTTTTCGATTTTTTTCTCTCTCGATATTTTATTTGTAAAATTTTCTTTAGATATCGTAGCCCGCTTTTGTTATTTGTAAATTACTCTGAAATTGGAAAGCATTTTTCTTCCTGTTAATTCGGGTGTTTTTCTGTTTCAATTAATTAACGAGTTTTTCGATTTTTTCTCTCTCGATATTTAATTTGAAATTTTCTAGAACGTAGCCCTTTGATGAAATTACTTCTGAAATTGGGAATCATTTTCTGTTCCCGTTAATCAGGGTGTTTCGCTTTTCAAAAAATTATTGGAGTTTTTTCGCATCTTTTCTCTCATCATATATTTCATTTTAAATTTGTCTTAGAACGTAGCCCTTTTTGATGAAATAGTTCTGAAATGGAACATTTTCTTTCTCTCCCGTTTACTGATGTGTTTCCTTTTCAATAATTATCGAGTTTTTCGATTTTTCTCTCTCGAATATTTCATTTAAATTTTCTTAGAGAACGTAGCCCTTGATGAAATATTCTGAAATTGAACATTTTCTTTCCCCCGTTATCGAGGTGTTTCCTTTTCAAAATTATTTATCTGCGTTTTTCGATTTTTCTCTCTTCTCTCAGAATATTTTTTTTTTTTAAATTCCTTAGAAAGTAGCCCCTTTGGTGACAATAACTTCTCTGAAATGGAGACATTTTTCTTTCCCCGTTTAGTCGAGGTGTTCCTTTTCAAAATTAATCGAGTTTTTCGATTTTTCCTCTCGAATGAATTCATTTTAAATTTTCCTTAAGAAAAATAGCCCCTTTGGTGAAATACTATTCTCTGAAATTGGAAAAACATTTTTTTTCCCGTTTTATTCGAGGTGTTTCCTTTTTTCAAAATTAATCTATCGCGTTTTTTTTTTCGATTTTTCTCTCTCTCGAAATTTTTATTTTAATTTTTCCTTAGAACTGTAGCCTTTGATGAAATCTTCTGAAATTGGAACATGTTTCTTTCCCCCCGTTTAATTTCGAGGTGTTTTCCTTTGTCAATAATTATCGGCGTTTTTTCCATTTTTCTTCTCTCCCCTCTCCCCTCCATGAATATTTATTTTAAATTTTCTTAGAAACGTAGCCCCCCTGGTGAAATATCCTCACTCTGCAATTGGAACATTTTCTTCCCCCTTTCTTTCCAGTTATTAAGATCGAAACGGGGGGTTTCCCCCCTTTTCAGAAATTTATTTGAATTATCGTGAAATCTATCCTCTCTCCCGAATTAGTAATCAAAAACAATTGGCCGCTTGCCACAATCTAGTGCAGTGGGGGGGCTTTTTTTTTAATCATTTCTTCCTTTTTTAAACCCACAAACATTAAAGTTAAAAGAAGATAAGGCCCCCCCCTTATTTTTTTTTTTAATTAAAAATTTTTAACGTGATAACATTTTTTTTTTTTTCTTCCTTTTTCTTTTCCCCTACAAGATGACGCTTGTCGGCACAAAATGTTCCACAAGCGATTACCCGAATCATCGTCTGAAAGAGAATTTGAAAGGGACAAAAATCGAAAGCGGGAACAGAACGATTAAAGCGCATTTTCCCAAGATGAGCCGCAGAGCCTGGGGAAATTCGGCAGTGATACGAGACCGGAAAGCCACGTCGAGCACTAAAAATGAGAGACAGACTTGGCAATGTTGTTGAAATCAGAAGCCTTTAATTTTTTTTTTTGCCGAAGTAAAATTTTTTTAAAAACTTATCGTCTGGATCGCTAACTTCAAGTTCCCTCTGCTAATTTGAGGAGTCAGGAAATTAAACCCTAGGCCATCACATGTTTCTTTCTTTCTTTCTTTCTTTCTCGTCTCAGGTGTTAGAATATGGCTGTGAAATCCTCGTATTGTTTATTGTTAAAAGTACGAAAAAGGGCCTCTACCGTCCACATTCCAAAAGGATAACTTGCGCGCGGGGTAGG